TAGATCTCCAACAGAGATAGTTTGGGACCTAAATCCAGATTTGTATTCTTTTAAACAAAATTTGAGACCACTAGAATGTTATCCTTGAAGTGGGAGACTGGAGTTGACTCAGACAGATTGGGTAACCTTGGATAACCTCCAAGCTATGCCTGTATCTCAGTCATATAAGAAAGTACTTTGAATACAATTATCGGCAATAAAACGTAAGATTATATTTTTATTTGAGTAAAGGAAGATTCTATGATCTAAATAATTGCCTCTTTTCTATTTCTTATTTTGCTTATATGAACAGGAAAGAAATAGGAGTAGAAACAATTTTGCAGATGTTCACACCATTATGTTACATGAATTGGAGGCTAGAATTCTGTGGGCAAGACAAAATATATCCCATACTCCTTTATTGATATTTAAATCAGAATTTAAATGTAGGCACTAACTTATTTTAGTTTGCTTAATAAAGACCCATATGTTGAATTACCCATTTGCACATACAAGGAAATGTATCATGTAATTATTGAGAGGCAGAAACTTCAGGCCTATCTTTGTCTAATAAAACTTCATCTGTGTGAGTTTTGTTACAAAGGAAGATGATTTGTTTGGAGAAATCTGTAGATGAGACTTAATGTCAAAATGGTAAGAAATCACTTGAACAATTTTGAAATCGTTTGTACATTACCTACCTGAAATTTTGTAGAACTCCTGTAGTGTCTCTTTAGCTCATTTGAATCCACCTGAAATATATTTATATTTATATTTCAGTTAATTTAGACAATTTCATCAATTATTTTCTCACTTTGTTAATAGTTATAGCAATTTCTCTCTACTGGTTCCTTCCTACCTCAGCCTATACATATGCTCCATCTTCTCACATTTTAAAACAAAAAAATTTCCTTGGCTTTTGTTTTCTTTTCGTTATTGCCCTATTGTTTGTCATAGTCAAGCTTCTCAAGAGAGTCACTCACATTGCTTTACTCCACATACTTCCCTCATATTATCCTTAACCCATAGCAATTTGGTGGCAATTTGGCTTGTTCCTACTTCTCTCATTGCATCAAGGTTAACAGTGCAAAGACCACGAATAACCTC